GATGCTCTTTCAAGCTGTGGTAAAATTTTTGTCCAGGCTTGTCTAGATCAAAATTTCACTCAAATGGGGAAATTAAGGTCTATTGTAGAGGTGTGCAAATCCGATCCGAATCGGATTCGTTCGGATTTCGGAACCAAAATGTAAATTTCGGTTCGGATTGATAAAGTTGTTTCGTAGTCGGATCGGACTTCGATATCCGAAATAAAATGAATTAATTATCCATGCATTATCGCAAGAATTAATTATCCATACATTTATCAAAGTATCATCGCGGTTTTCGCTGCATTATTCGTTTGATACTTCAATTGGACGTCACTTTGTCAGCTTCTTGACATGTATTTCTTGCTTTTATATTTATTTGGTCAATTATTTCAACTTGAATGAGAAATTTATTTTATTAAAGAATTCATCGGATCGGATTGGAATTCTTTTTCAAAACTCGGATCGGATTCGGATTAGAGTTCGGATCGGATTTTAAACATTAGGCAATTGTCGGATTATAAACGTTCAATCCGATCCGATGCACACCTCTAGTCTATTGTCAGTATTTTAAAGGTATATTATTTAAATGATAAAGGTGTGCATGATTTTGAAAAAAGAATGATTATCAGCAAATTATTGTAAGGGCTGCTGCCCCCAGTCCTGCCCCCCCCCCCCTCCCCCCGACTGCTACGGCCCTGAGAAGTAATAGACCGAAAAACATTTACCGATTTACGATTTGTTTTACGTTATCCATGTAAATGCCGTGATTTGGTGAATCAGTTTATACCAATGGTTTATACTGACAATACCATTTTATAATATTTTTTTCTGTTTAAACAACTAAAATTTTGTTATACTGTTATTGCCGTAATTTTCCGAATGGCCAACCCGATTTTCCGAATATGTTAATTCTACAAAGTTAGGTTAACCACCCCTGCCCCCACACCCCTCACGGCCCTGAGGGTGTATAAAAAAACCTGCAAACCGCGGCACTATAATTTGCATAATTCTGCTGCTAAAGCATTTCTATGTCTGTGCTACTTATTTTGCTCCTGGGATTTGAAAATAATTCTAATTAACCGCGTTGATAGAAATTAGAATAACACAAAGTTATTTGTAATTCAGAAAACTAATTATCCTATCAGTTCGACTGCGAATGGGTCAACTATTGTGTTTACGCACGCTTGGGATCAATTAGTTCTGAATCATGCAAATTCTAAAACATTGTTTTTCAAAAGGTTTGCAGGTTTTTTGATACACCCTGTATAACATGTAGCTGAAACTGGTAGAATAGCCCCTTTGCTGCTGGCCGAAAAAACACTTTGCATAACATAATACAACAAGGGCAGATTTCGTGCTCGACCAATCAGCGCATTTGTTTACATTTTCGCTCTCAGCTAATCATAATGCAGGAAACGAGAAATTAACAACAAGGCGAGCTAGAAAATATTGCCGTCTTCTCGGGCTTCCGTGAGATTCAATTTTAACTTTTTTTAATTTAAAACCAAAAGATTATGATGCAGCACATTACAATCTAAAACTTTGCCGTGGGCATTTTTAAATTTCGACCTAGAACTGAAAATATCCCTGTTTGAAAATTTTCCCTATGTCGCGTATACAAATCGTATACAAATTTGAGTAATCTAATTTGACTGCAATAAAACTAAAAATTGCTATATTTTCTCTGCTTTTAAGTTTTTGTTGGAAAACTTTTTTTCCCTCTTGTTAATTGCAAATTTTTTTGGTCAATGTTTTATATCAAAACCTAGACGATAACTCGTTTATAGTGCTTGATTTAAAAAAAAATATAGTCGCTCGCTCGCGATCATACGGGAAATCAATACAAAAATATTGTCCGACCGATTTTCAAGAAAATCAGACTCTCTAAACGCGTTATCTTCTAGGTTATGAAATAATGCACTGACCAAAATGATTCTCAACAAGAGCAAAAAAGAGTTTTCCAACGAAAACAGAAAGCAGGGAAAATATAGCAATGTTTAGTTTTATTGCAGTCAAATTAGATTACTCAAATTTGTATACGATTTGTATACGCGACATGGGGAAAAATTTCAAACATGGATATTTTCAATTCTAGATCGAAATTTAAAAATGTCCACGGCAAAGTTTTAGATTTTAATGTGCTGCATCATAATCTTTTGATTTTAAATTAAAAGAGTTAAAATTGAATCTCATGGAAGCCCGAGAAGACAGCAATATTTTCTAGCTCGCCTTGTTGTTAATTTCTCGTTTCCTGCATTATGATTAGCTGAGAGCGAAAATGTAAACAAATGCGCTGATTGGTCGAGAACGAAATCTGCCCTTGTTTAACAATACTGGAGGGCACGAAAGATGCTACAGCTCTCCATAATACCGGTTATTGTTTTCAACTATATTCAGTTTTAGTTAACTGCAATTAAAGAGCCCTAATTTACAATATACTGTAGATATCTTCAAATGATTGAATATGCGAACTGTTGCTCAAAAAACAATTAATTAGTTTCCGCACGGTTGATTCGCTTTTGCTTTATATACAATAGAGCGTTTGCACTCATTCCCCACGACCAACTCAACAAAAACATGTGGTGTTCCAGAGTGAAGAGTCTAATTAAAATTCTTTTGAATTGGGACGTCATGTGCAAACGCTCTACACGCTAGTACACAAAATATTTAATGACAATGCTATATTATTGTAGCTACAATAGCTACAACTGAAACACAAATAATGATTGAACAGCTGAATACTTCGGCATGCACATTTTAATTCTTCCAGTTTCAGCTACATGTCATAGTTCAACTGCAATTTGTCCCGACGCAGAACGCGCCATTTGGATGCGCAGTAGAAACTCCAATTGGCTTATATGCACAACCGTGTTTTACAGCGCCCTGGCCATAGAAATAATAGACATAGAATGCGTGCTCCTATCTTTTCTCAGTAAAAATTTGTCTCCACAAAATGGCGCATATTGAAAAGGGCATTTTGGTTGGTCCCAGACTCCTGAGGTAGGGAATTTCGCGCGGTTGCAGGGAGTGCGAATTTAATATTTTTTCAACTGAAAAGTTTGCAAAAAATTTTATATCGGAACTTAAAATGGAAAATAAGTTTGGTAAACTAAGAAAAAGTGTCTAAAAACCCATTCCAGTGGGTTTTTTTACGAAAAGCAATAGTTCTGAACAGAATATATGCAGAAATCGTCGTTTAATAATAAAATTTCAACGTTATGTTGTTGTGCAAGCCAAAACAAAACACAAAAGGTCAAGACAAACTCAATAGGTATGTTCTACAAATGTTTCAACTCTTTTACAATATAAATGGAGTTCAATAATCTTTTTAAACTTACACAATTATATTTCATATTTTTCTACGTTGCTTGAGCTTGAGGCAACGCTTTTGAAACCATGGTTTTCGACGATTATTTTTAGGCAATTTACAGTTTATCGACAACTATAAAATGTTTCAAGAACATGAAAACACTTCGTTTACATTGCAGAAAAACGAAACCCGACGAAGAAAGAACTATCATTTTGTAATCTTATACGATATTAGCAAAACAGTTACGTTCAGAGCATGCAAAAATGTTTTATGAGTAATTTATATTTTCGCGAATCTACTTTGCTCATAGGAAGCCCAAACAAGCGGGTTTTATTCAATAAAATCCGTAATGAGTATGAGTTTGAGTATGCAATTAGCAATAAAATTGCATGATTCTAACAGCAATTTTATTGCTAATTGCATACTCAAACGTTTTAATTACGGATTTTATTGAATAAAACCCGTTTGTTTGGGCTTCCTATGCTTTGCTTTTAAAAAAGGCTGCACGATTTTCACTGTTTTCATAGTGTTTTGTAACTGCACATTTTTGGCAGTTTGTGCCTTCAAGGAACTCAAAATCTATCCCAAACTACAAATTAGACAACAAGACAAAACGTTTTGACGATGAAAACGTAGTTTTAGCTTTGTTTATACTTTGTAGTTTGCACTCCTGGCCAAAATTCAAAATGGTGCATTCAAAAGGGCATGCATGCACCTCGGAACACAGAGTAGATAAGACATACAGAGACGTAACTGACCGTTGTAAACACTGCGGAAGATTACGTTATCATGTACCCACTTTTTTTCAGGCGACCGGACGAAAAATGATTAACTGCGCGTGCTCAGCAAGTATAAAGTGAGTCGTCATCAGGTCGTCATCCAATCAGATGCATGCATCTAGTAACTTGCCGAGCATGCGCACAAAAAAATGGGTACACTAGTTACGTCTCTGTATGTCTCTACTCTGTGACCTGAAAAAGTGGAGACATGATTCGTCATTAGCACGCATTCTATGTCTATTATTTCTATGGCCCTGGCACAACGAATTTTATCGCGCCTTATTTGGATCACCAAATTAACCAAAATCACCTGCCCCACCGCGCATGCCTCCCAGTTTGCTTGCAGTAGGGGTGTATTGGAAGCTCCAAGCCCCTTTGTTTATGCCAGTTTGGGGAGGGGGGAGGGGGCTGCCCATCCAGTATTTTTGCAGATGCATAACCAGGAAAGTTCTTTGCAACTGTAAAGTGTTGAAATGATGCGGTAATGTCAGTAATGTGTACCGGATGTCTAGATTACTATGATCACACTTGAAGTCATGTTTGTGACGCAACATGAAATAGCTTCGGTATATTGGAATCTTCTATTCGAAGTTAAGCTGACCTGGAAAAAAGAAGGATCTCGGGATCCTGAGGAACATTGAGAAACATTTTGATTCATATTTAGTTATCTGCCATTTGAGTCTATTTTGAGACTGCTCTTCATATTCCGTTGATAGAATTTGAAGATTGTTTTGTTTCCTCAGCATTTTACAACCAATAAAATTGAGGAACATTTGAAAAGGGCAAATTCAGGATCCGAGGAACATTGAACACTTTTTCTAGGTCTGAAGTTAAGCCCTTTCTGGCTTTCTCAAAAAAAAAACACTAACTGAAGAATTACTAGAACCAAAAATAAACACTGGAAATTTTTATGTTTATCATGTTGCACCCTCCACGCCTTGTCACCCTCATGTCTTGTCACCCCCCACCCGCTGCTCCACCTTTCAAGAGCACTCTTTGTTACATTTCAATTCTACACCACTTGCTTGCAGGAGTTGCAGCCAACCCGGCGGAACACCGGAAAGGTCAGATCTGCCATGCAGGCTATTTCAATGAAAGAAGCGCCACGTACTTCACTCTTATACAGGTGTTGCTATGCTTTAATACTACCAGATGATCTTGATACGCGGAAAAGTACTGGCACTAGTTGTCAAATAGAAATCCATTTTATGATTAAAACAACTGAATATCTCCTGTAATATACTTTATTTCTATTCCATATTTTTGTCAGAGCTATAGTTCTCATAAGCAAACATAATTACAAAATTTCAACTAGTTTCATAAAGAATAACGAAAGATATAATTGACTGAATACCTCAAAATGGATTTCTATGCGGACAACCCTTTCTGAGCGCTGATTGGCTAAAATACGAACACGAGATCACCTGGTATGTAGAACAATACATATAGCCAGCGAGGGTAGCATTATTTACAACAACAATAAACATGTTTAGTTTCAACAGTCACTCATAATACAAAGCATAAACCGTTGCCACGGCAGTGAAACGCTTACTTTCAAAAATTTCTTGTACGAAATTATCATAATCTGTATTCCACAAACAACGACTACCAATCATTATATTCTGTCTCTCGCAACCTCGAAGCAAAGACACAACACATATAATCTTATACCGTGAAAACCCAGAATTTTTCACTCGTAGTTTAATTTCATCTGCCAGCGATTTACATAAATCCCCATCTGTCTCATGTTTGTTCTTCTCATCATTTATTTCTTGCATCGCATTTTTCATTATTTCTCTGACTTCAGAAACTTTAAAAGGCTTAACAGGACTTAATTCATAACTGTTCTGAGGCTTGTTCATGAAAGATACCTCATCCAAATGCATATCTTCCAAGTAAAACATTTTTCTGCTTTTTTCAATCATTTTTCTCACGGCTGGAGTATCATTGTAGTCCACGTCAAATGTTCCAGGATCGCGGGTCGTCTTATTTGTGAAATATTCTGAGAGGAGCAAAGAACTTTTCCATTTCATGGCCGCTTTATGGGTTCCTAAGAAGCGAGAGAGACTCGAGATTCTTGCTCTTGGGTTATTTTCGGATCTCTGAGACTGACCTGCTGCAGCCATCTTTCCAAGTAAAAACAATGCAGCTGTTGTATTCGTATGGAATTGATTTCATATGATTCAATGTTTCATAATTGGAGCCAATTTGATGGAACATTCTTGGTTTGAAAGCGTCGTTGCTGAGTAGGGAAAGTTTCAATGACAATACGAGTCTAATTAATCTAATATCTTACTTCAATCAGTATATTGTTTCCTTAAATTTAAATAACTATGTTTACAGAAGAACAAATGGATCGATCGTCTATTCTTTAGACTAGTTTAGCGACAGAAAAGACTGTGCTCAGCTTAAGGTAAAAACAATATCGACTCGTTATGATCCGTAGCAAATTTAATTTGATGCGGCTTGTTCAAACTCGGTAAACTTGCCTCGGTGGCCGGTCTGAAAAATGCGAGATGACTTTTCCAAGCAGTATACTGGAATAAATCTTAAACATGACAAAATATTTGATGAGCCAAATTATCTGAGTGATGTAGTATTTTGCTATTTTTCCTGCAGTCCTTTTCGACTTAGTCTACTTCCTTTCTAGACCTAAGAAAATGTACAAATAGTTTTTCAATGCAGTGAGATCATTTTTTAATATTTATCACAAGCTATGGCCACGACCAAAATCAAAATTATTTCATTCTTCACTCAGATAATTATTAATGTTTTGACGACAAACCTATGGCTATGCAGTATGAAAGTATAGTTGGCAGTGGCTTTCAGGTCTTTCTAACAACTTTCCATTACCATTAGCTAGGTATGAACAAAGTTCATGCATATTGTGTACAGTTAACTTAAACCTAACTTGCCGCACATCTAACTGTGCCCCGGGCCGAAAATAAAGCCAAGCGATATTTGAACATCAAAGGTTGGTTTGGAGGGCTGAATAAGGAATTATGACCAGTGGCGTAACGTTATATCAGGGGGTCCCCGGTTCAAAATTTTCGAAGGCCTCGCTAGTATAAGTGCCAAAGACACGAGTTGACCGCCGTATATGCACGAGTTTTTTAGGGGGTCCAGGGCATGCTCACCCGGAAATTTTTTTAATCTGGAGTCTCTGAAATATGAGGGGTTATCACTATCAAAAATAACTCTTGATCGTGTGGGAAGTTGATTGGGCCGTAAATCAAATTCAGTCGTAAAGTTTCATTGCCCGTAACGTACGTCTTTACATCGTTTCGGGTCGTAAATAACGTGATACTTCGGCTCGTAATTAACGCCGGTGATGCTTCGGGTCGTAAATAACGTGATACTTCGGCTCGTAATTAACGTGATACTTCGGGTCGTAAATAACGTGATACTTCGGCTCGTAATTAACGTGATACTTCGGGTCGTAAGTAACGTGATACTTCGGCTCGTAATTAACGTGATACTTCGGGTCGTAAATAACGTGATACTTCGGCTCGTAATTAACGTGATACTTCGGGTCGTAAGTAACGTGATACTTCGGCTCGTAATTAACGTGATACTTTGGGTCGTAAATAACGTGATACTTCGGCTCGTAATTAACGTGATACTTCGGGTCGTAAATAACGTGATGATACTTCGGCTCGTAATTAACGTGATACTTCGGCTCGTAATTAACGTGATACTTCGGCTCGTAATTAACGTGATACTTCGTCACTTTGGTATATACTTTATGTGACCCCTTATTATACTGTATCATAATGCTCTAGATACTCTAGCCCTGAATAACTATCACTAGCCCTCCTTAGCCCTCCTTAGGCCTCCTTAGGGCTCCTTAGCCCTCCTTAGGGCTCCTTAGGCCTCCTTACGCCTCCTTAGCCCTCCTTAGGCCTCCTTAGCCCTCCTTAGGCCTTCTTAAGCCTCCTTAGGCCTCCTTAGGGCTCCTTAGCCCTCCTTAGGCCTCCTTAGGGCTCCTTACCCCTCCTTAGGCCTCCTTAGGCCTCCCTAAACATCCTTAGGCCTCCTTAGGGCTCCTTAGCCCTCCTTAGGCCTCCTTAGGCCTCCTTAAGCCTCCTTAGGC